GAAAATACTGGCTAAATAAATCCGAAAATTCGAAAACTTAAACCCAGGTGGTTCAGCAAGAAGCCATTTTATTCAAAAGGTCAGATATGAGAGTATAAAAAAAGATTTATAAAAAGTGGTCAGTTCATGTCCAGATAAGATATTTAAATTATCCTGATTGTTGTTTTTAACAGGTTTCATCCTACTATAATTTTTTTTTCACTTTTTACCATTTTCAAAATTATCGACCCTGGTCTATTATAATAGTTCCTCATCTGACTGCAAAAAGTGTAGTGCTGTTTGTAGTTAGGTACGAGGGAGAAAAAGGGGGGAGGGTAAACAACATGTACTATGTCCCAGTGGTGGGAGATGTTGTGTAACTTAAAAAACTAAAAAATAATGTTTCTTATTGATGTTTTTTCGTTTTTGCTGGCAATTAAATAATTTGCTTGTAGACGTCTATAACAATAAATCCCTTTGCAAGCATTTTCTGTTTTGCGCTACTATCGATGTAGGGAAGTTCCTACACATACACCGAAAATAGTAAAACCAGACGACAAAAATACTTGCAAAGGAATTGTTTTATTTTTATAGACATCTGGAAGAAAATTTTGTTAATGCCCATAAAAACAAAATTATGCATTAAAAAGAAACATTATGTTTAATTTGACAGGCTTCCCGACAGCGTCCAAAACTACAAATAGCAAGCAAAAATGCGATATGCCACTTTTAGAAGTTAGTTAAAGACTATTATAAATGCTATAACCAAAAATAAAAACTTTTTTTATGCAATTATCTTTATACAGTGTCGGCTACTGAACGTTTTCCAATACGCTTTGCCCAAGTGCATGTAAAAACTACAGAGAATTATAATTAGAACGAGCGTTCGAATTTAAACGACCAACCTCGTTATAACCTTAAGGGGGGTAAGGTTAATTTGTGCAAAAAAATGCACATTTTTGTGAATTTTTTTTGACGACACAGTTAATATCAGTTTATTTAAACTAATGATACATTAAAATGTAACATTCAAAGAATATTGTGTCAAATTTTCATGTAGAAATATTAAAAAATACGGAAAAGACTGCAATTATTCCGAGGCGTCTCGGAAAAAAGTAAAATTGCGGTGCCCCTCCTAACTCGGTGCTGGATCATCAGAAATAAAAAATCAGGGATTTCGAAATTTATATTTTTCACTTTATGGGAACACTTTGAAGTAAAAAACGCGATTCTTGCAAAACAAAATAAAATAATTTGTTATTATAAAATAAAAAATATTAATAAATTTGAAAAACTCTCCAGCGTTACCTCGTAAATTATGTACAAAAATAGTGTTCAAAATTTCAAAACGATAGGTGCAGTAGTTTTGAAGTTATGAGGGGCACCGTCTTTGGAAACGTGAGTTGTAGGAAAAACGCTTTAAAGTTTTGAACACTAAAAAATTTAGAATAAAACGTTTATAAGCGAGTTTTATCGGCTTATTTCACACTGAATCATCGACGCCAGGTCCATAAAGGATGTTGCTATCATTCATGACGTCTAAAGCATCTTTTTGCTCCTGTCTACGACGAATCCTCTTTCATGAGCGCTTGATCCAATACTGATTTTCATGTCTTGCATAGAGGTTAGTAAAGCAAAAGAACCTGACAGGCCAATGCTACACTAAATTATATACAGTACAGATATAAACACGATTGTATTTGTGTTAAAATTTCTACAAATAAAGGTAGAAGGTAAGGTTAGGGATTAGATAGAAAACGAAACAACTGCCAGGTAAGGGCGGCTCCGAAACAAATTTTCGGTGGGGGCCATTGCCTTTAGCCTTCCTCTTTTCAGCATATTTTTTGAATAAAATGCTCATAAATCGTAAGAATTTTTATCTCAGGGAGGCCATGGCCCCCATAGCCCCCCTCCTCTGAAGCCACCCTTACTGCCAGGTAATAGTAGGGCGCTCGTTTTTTCTGATGCGCTAAGTCATATATGAGGCGTGGTTACTCAAACCGCTGTATCATCGTTAGTTTTGCTCCGATTCATCTCAAATTTTTTTACAATATTCTTGAAAGGTTCTACATTTACAAAATCAAATATAAAAAAATGCAAAAAAAGTTTAAAAACATTACTACCCCCTTAACACGTTCGTTACGGTATGGGGTAAATATATCCCGTATAAAGTTTATCTGGAGGACAGCAAATAAGTCAAAAATTTTACCCACAGTACGGAAGCTGCAGTTTTCTTATTTTTTAATATTTTTTTATGAAACTTATACAGGTTGGACTGTCGTTAATTGTACCAGCCATTTTGATAATAATCTAGTACGGGGCATATAGGACCCGTACCGTACTTGACTTAAACAACTTTACATACGGGACGTACCAGGACGTACCAAACACGACTATTTGTAATGCGCCTGCGCAAAATGATGAGATGCGATAAACTGTTGTACAACTCAGTGCTCAGTGCAGGGTTGCCAGATAGCGTGGTTTATCGCAATTTGGGCTACTTGTATTCTTAATTTGCGATCAGTTTTTTGACTTTGTGATGGGCGACAATTTTGGGCTACCTAATAATTTAGTTGCGATTTTTGGGCTACGAGCGGCACAGTGCGCACACATTTGAACATTTCAGTGTTTTCCGTTTTTTTTTAACGAAACATCGTTCGATTGTCAGTTGTCAGTTCTGGTTTCTGTTGCTCTACCTATGCTCTACCACAACCACACGCCACGCCACATCAACAAAGACAAAGATATTGTCTTCACTGCTTTTACACGTGTAAAGTGCCCGAAAAACATGGCGGACCATTTTCAACTATAAAAAGACCTATTAAACTATTTACTTAAATTGTCCGCCATGTTTTTCGTACTCTACATGTGTGTAAGTAGCAGTATGGTAGCAGTATGGTAGCAGTATGGTAGCAGTAAGTAGTGAAGACGTTTTTGTCCTTGTTTTGTTGCTCGTCGTAAGAGTCTTCTTCTTCTTGTTTTAAGGGCTTCCACCTTGACAGTACTTGGCCAGAGCAGGTAATGTCATCGTAAGCAATCGTAAGAGTCCGAAACTTTCATATTATGCGCATGCGCTCAACGGGTGATGTATTTTGTGACGTTAGAGAGCGTTTGCGATTTTGGGCTATTTCCAGTCAGTTTTCCTGCGAAATCGATAGCACAAGATCTGGCAACCCTGGCTCAGTGGCCGGTTTAGTTGCTTTTTAGTCACAGTTGAGTAAACACGTATCAGTATGAGTTCACGAATGATAAATATTCTTAATTTAGCAACAAGTGTAAATGTCAGTTCTAGTTCGGAAGAATTCATAGAGGATTCTGATGATTCAATTGCAGACAGAGACTTTGTTCCGTCGTATTCTGAAGATGAATTGGAAGATATGGAAATATCCGAAACAGAAAATGAAAATCAAGATCACTATGAAGAGTCTCAGCAGCACTGTTCAGAAACTATTTGGACAGAAACTATCACAGAAGGTATACTATACATTTGGGACCTGGCGAGCGACCGCGTTCAAATCCTTGCATGGGGCAGAATTTTTTTTTGTTTTTTAATTTTTTTTTTTCAGTTTTTTTTTGTTTAGCAAATATAAAAATTGAATAAATACGATTATTGTTGATTATTTATCTAAATATATTTTAATTCTTATAATAATAACCTGGTTTTACATTTTTTGATGAAAATATTTTGTGGTCGTAGGAAAAATATTGTACATAACTTGTGTAAAAAATGATTTTCCACACTCGTAATGTAATATACTATTGACACTTTGAATTCTTAATCTGGTATATCTTAGTCTAGTATATCCTAATCTAATATATCAGTCTCTGTTAGTCTGTTAGTCTATATTAATCTATGTTGGTCTATGTTGGTCTATGTTGGTCTATATTGATCTGTTAGTCTATCTTACTCTATCTTACCCTATCTTTGTCTATCTTATTCTATCTAACTCTATCTTACCCTATCATATTCTATCTTACTCTATCTTACTTTATTTTACTCTATCTTACTCTATCTTACTCTATCTTACTCTATCTTACTCTATCTTACTCTATCTTACTCTATCTTACTCTATCTTACTCTATCTTACTCTATCTTACTCTATCTTACTCTATCTTACTCTATCTTACTCTATCTTACTCTATCTTACTCTATCTTACTCTATCTTACTCTATCTTACTCTATCTTACTCTATCTTACTCTATCTTACTCTATCTTACTCTATCTTACTCTATCTTACTCTATCTTACTCTATCTTACTCTATCTTACTCTATCTTACTCTATCTTACTCTATCTTACTCTATCTTACTCTATCTTACTCTATCTTACTCTATCTTACTCTATCTTACTCTATCTTACTCTATCTTACTCTATCTTACTCTATCTTACTCTATCTTACTCTATCTTACTCTATTTTACTCTATCTTACTCTATCTTACTCTATCTTACTCTATCTTACTCTATTTTACTCTATCTTACTCTATCTTACTCTATCTTACTCTATCTTACTCTATCTTACTCTATCTTACTCTATCTTACTCTATCTTACTCTAGTCTTTGGTAAGGACTGAGTTTAATTCATAAACAAAAAATGTTCATACATCTCAAAAATTATGAAAAATAATATATGATTCCATATAAGTTTGGTTGTGTGTATATTTTAAAGGATTATTATGGACATTATTATGAGTATAACCAAATATATAATAAATATATAATAAATAATTTTATTGGCTGAAATGTTGTGCCTATATAGAATAGTTGCCTAAATGTGTATGTAACAATTTCATAGTTATTGTGGAAACTATTTTATAATTTTGATGTAAGAATATTGTAAAAAATTAATTTACATGGCAAATTAGTTTCAGTGATTTCTGAAATTTTAGTAAAACAAATTAGCATTTTAGAAACAGTAATCAATATGATGTTAATAAAATATAATGTAAAACTAAAAATTATAAAGCTACTTTGCTAGTTGGTTGAGGCCCCATAGGTAGAAGGCATCAGTAATTAGCTGTTTCTCGTTATCAAAGTATAGTAGATTGCATATAAAAAAAATGTAATTCAATAAAATATATATAATGAACGAAATAATTTATACATTAAGTATCTCTGCATAGTGATATTTATAGGTGCAGATGTCAAATTCAGACCGTAAGTTGAAACAAATTACAATTATATTAAGGATAATTAAATAAATAATAGCAACAACAAGTTTTTCACATTTTTGTATTTAAGCAAAAAAGTGCAGGGCGATTTGTTATACCCAAATACCTATAAATTTTTACAGTAAGGGCTTAACGGTGCAAATTTTATAATTAAGGGCTCTAAGTGATTAACTTTAAACGAAATAATTAATAAACCGCTAAGCTTCAGTTATTAAGAGCAAACCGAAGAACATCTTGAAAATTTATAATATCTTCTGGTGCTTTATTCTTAGTCCGTATTTTGTAAAATTTTCAGTAAACGTCAATAATAACAATCTTTAGGGTAGTCAGGGTATCTGCTTTCTTTTGTATTAACTTCTTGCACTTTAATTTATAATTTTTTAGATAAGTTTTTGGGTTTTTAGGTGCCTGTATTTAGATGGTTTTTAAATGAAAATCATATGTTAGAGCTTTCGGCATTGATCAGCGTCTTCTTTAGTATGGTATTTTATTAATTAACATTATTTTTTGCTTTAGGCATTGTTATTTTTGTTTGTTAGTTTGTTTTTTACATCTGTTTCAAATTTCTTTTCTTTTTTAAATTAAGTTTTAATATTACCTACAAGAAATTAGTTTTTTATTAGTTATGTTTAGTATTCTTTTTTTATAGCTTACCTTGGACACAAGTGTCTTACAATTTATTCTTATTTTTTTTATATATTATTATACTCTTCACACAATAGTCTGTGAAGAGTATTATGCAGTCGCTTCGTCCGATGTCACTTTTTTTGCCCGCACGATAAATTAAAAACGGAAAACGATATTAATTTGAAAATTTCAGGAAAAATCAAGCTCTATAAAGGAACGAAGGCTTTTGATTTTGAAAAAATCTGATTAAAAATGTGGGGGTTAAGGAAGGTTGAAATTAAAAAAAAATCATAACTCAAAAAAAAAACACGATATCAAATTGAAATCTTCAGAAAAAATCAAGCTTTATAAGAGCATGAAGCATATTGATTTAAAAAAATTAATAAAATGGGGGTTAAAATATGGGGGGTTAAAATATTTAAAAAATCCTAACTCAAAAACAAAAAATGATATCAACTTAAAATTTTAGCAAAAATCAAGCTCTATAAGGGAACGTAACCTAATGGTTTTGAAGAAAATCTAAATAAAAATGGAGAGGGGTTAAGGGGGGTTGAAATGTTTAAAATAATCCTAACTCAAAAACAAAAATGATATCAACTTTAAATTTTTAGTTCTCTAAGAGGAAGAACTCCTTTAATTTTGAAAAAAAAAACTGATTAAAAATGTGGGAGTTAAGAGGGGTTGAAATAAAAAAAATCATAAATAAAAAACGAAAAGCTGTATCAATATTAAATTTTTAATAAAAATCAAGGATAAGGCCTATTAATTCTGAAAAAATCTAAATAAAAATGGCGGTTGAAATATTGAAACAATCCTAATTTAAAAACAATAAATGATATTAACTATAAAAAGAAAAAGCCGTCTGATTAAAAATGGGGGGTTTAAGGGGGATTAAAATTTAAAACTCATAAATAGAGAGCGGAATATATGCAAAATGCATATATATGCATTTTTTGCATATTTTACCAAAGTTCAGAAAATATTGCATATTTTTCCAAAATTCAGAAAATATTGCATATTCTACCAAAGTTCAGAAAATTTAAGAAAATATTGCATATTTTCGAAAAAAAAAAAATGTATTACTATACTGTGCAAATCAAAAACTGTTTTAACAGATTATACAGATATATTTGAAATAAAGACCTTTTAAATTTTTGTATTTGTTTTTAAGTGTCACTTCTTGTAAATTCTTGTTAATGAGTTCTTGGAGGGTAGCATGCACTGGGTTTTTACCTTCTTAAGAGATTAAGCCCATTAAGGTAATTGTTAATAGATGGTATTTACACAGATAAAGTATTACCTACAATGCAATAAAACGGTTTATATAAAATTCTCAGTAATTTCTTGTAACCAATCTAACCTAATATCGGAATATTTTGAATGTTTTTCATTCAGTTTAATGAGATAGTATCCTCGTTATTTGCCTAGTGAAAAGTCTTGTAATAATTTGTTGTTTTAAAAGTGTCCTAAAATGTCGAGAATTTCTTCGTGGATTATTAACTTTCTAGAGTTGCAAATCAATGGGGATAAAATTTTTTGTAAAGCTTGTGCCAAAATAGTGGTTTGCGAAAAAAAGTTCAAAGTGGTTCAACACGTGAAAACATCATTGCATAAAGCCAAATTGCAAAAAATGAAATCACCACCGGTTCACAATGCGTTGTGAGGTCATTTCAAAACGACGACAAAACAAAAAGTGACAAGGAGGTATTTAATCAGGACTTGTGCAAAGCTCTTGTTGCGGCAAATATTCCATTAAAGAAGTTACAAAACCTACATCTAAGAGAATTTTTACAAAAATATTGCAATCAAACCATTCCTGACGAATCTACACTCAGAAAAAAAAAGTACATGCTATATATATATAAATGTAATAGAAGAAATTAAATTTTTACTGGACGATAGCAATTTTTACATCATTGTTGATGAAAGCACAGATGCTTGTGGAAGATATATGGTACATCTTATGATTGGAGCCTTAAAAGAAAATGAACCAGGTACATCATATTTAATTGCATCAAAACAGTTAGAAAAAACTAACAATACAACTGTTACCCGATTTATTCAACAATCTCTAGCAGAACTTTTTTTTACCAAATCAAATTCCCTCAGAGAAGTTCTTAGTGTTTTTGTCTGACGCAGCACCACATATGATAAAAGTAGGGCAAAACTTAAAAATATTTTATCCAAATATGGTCCACGTTACTTGTCTTCTGCATGGAATAAACTTAGTTGCAGAAACTGTGAGAACAGAATATCCCTTGGTTAACAAGCTAATTTCGAATGTGAAAAAAATATTTTTAAAAGCGCCCCTTTAAGAGTACAGTTGTATAAAGAGAGAATGGTAGGGGTTTGCCCCCGCAACCCGTAATTACGCGATGGGGGACATGGATTAAAGCAGCTATATTCTATGCAGAAAATTTTGAAGCAATTAAGGATTTAATTTTGGATATAGAAGACAATTCACAATGTGTAGTGCAAAGTAAAGAATTGTTAAAAAATCCCCTTGTGCCTAAGCAACTTGTGTTTATAAAGGTTAATTTTATTTTTTTACCTGATGTAATAACTTCATTGGAAAAGAAAAATTTAAGTTTAATCGAATCAACAAATTTTATTGCAACAGTTTTCGATAAATGTAACAATGTTCCTGGTGACATAGGCCTTAAGATTAGAAAAAAATTAAATACAACTTTATTAAAGAATGAAGGGTTCAATGAAATAAGGGAAGTGAAAAACATTTTTGAGGGAAAATTTTCCAAAGAAGTTTTACGTTGGCCCTGTACATTACTTCCAAAATTACGGTATTGTCCTATTACTTCGGTAGATGTTGAAAGGACCTTTTCTATATCAAAACATATTTTTACAGACAGAAGACAAAAATTTTTAATAGAAAATTTCGAAAAATATTTAATTATAAATTCCTATTATAATATTACTATTTAATATTTTTATACTATTCTATACTTAACTTCTACTAGTTTTTGTGTTTCGTTTGTTTTAAATAAATTTTTATATTACATATTTTCTTTTGTTTTTTTTTTCGTGTAATGGCTTTGATAGCGTACCAAATTAGGAACAGCAATGTTAATTAGAACCCAACAGTGAATGGTCAAGTGGAAATATTCGCTAGGCATCAGAATTAATTTTTAAATAAATTAATTAATTTAAAAAATCGCGTCCCGGCTGGAATTTGAACCCGGGACCCCTAGGTCCACAGGCCAACGCACTAACCACTGAGCTACCCACCCTCTACTTTTTTCAAGTATTTTTAACAAATATGCATTTGCATATTTAGGCATAATTGGACAAAATAACTGCATATTTTTGGTAAAAACGATGCATATATATGCGCATATTTTCTTATATTTTGATGCATATATTCCGCCCTCTACTCATAAATCATATATCAAAAATAAAAAGCGATATCAACATGAAATATTAATTAAAAATCAAGTTCTACAAGGAAATAAAGCCTATTGATTCTAAAAAAATCTAACTAAAAATAGGGACATAAGAGGGGTTGATATATTTAAAAAAAATTTAACTGAAAAACGAAAAATAATATTAACTTAAAATTTTTAGCAAAAATCAAGTTCTATAAAGGGAAAATCCGTTTAAATTTGAAAAAAATTCATAATAAAAATGGGGGTTTTAAAGGGGGGTTGAAATTAAAAAAAAAAATCACAACTCAAAAACAAAAAATATTTACAACTTAAAATTAAATAAAGGGATAAAAACGATTGATTTAAAAAAAATTGTGAAAAAAATGGGGAGATTAAGGGAGGCTGAAATAAAAAACATAAATCAAACACCAAAAACGATATCAACATGAAATTTTTAGTAACAATCAAACTCTATAAGGGAAAATACTAAATCAAAATTAAGGGATAAGGAGGGGGGGGGGCGTTAAAATATTGAAAAAATCCTAACTTAGAAATAAAAAAGCGATATCAAAATGAAATCTTCAGGAAAAGGGGATGAAGTATTTCTGATTTTTTTATTGAAGATGGAGGATAAGGGGGTCTGTTAAACTGTGAAGAGTATAATATAGAATTTCAAGCATTATATATATTTATTCTAGTTTTCACTATTATAAATTAGTCAGTTTTTTTTTATATTTTGATCTGCTTCTGGCATGGATACCAGTTTTTTACATTTACGGGGTCTCAAAGAGGTCCAGAACAGAGAAAATTTTTGTTTTTTTTTATAAAGATCTTTTATGCATCTTTTAGCTTTAGTAGCTGGGCATTTCCATTATTGGTTACGAGTTTAACCAAATCTTGGTTTGGTAAAAAGCCCAAGGAATGGTCTGTTGGAGGCAGTGTCGGATTGGGACCCATATGCCCTACCGGTTCAGGAGGGAGAAGGGCCAACCTATACATTTGTTTTCATGGTCAGATTCATTGAAGAGTAAAAAAGATCTTCTTTGCACACTATTTTTTTTTTCATCTGAGCCACGTTTTACGAGATTTTCTCTGTTCTTCTCGAGGGCCCACTGCCTGAACAAGAGTCTCCTGCTTGAACGAGAGCCTACCGGTCTATTGATCGGTAGACCGACGGCTGACGACCCAATCCGACACTGGTTGAGGGTAGCCTAGATAGCTCTGTTGAAGAGGCCATTAAACTTCATAATACTTTAAGAGAAAGAACAACGAATATAATTTTATTACAAATTGTTTGAATAATATTAAACAGATCTTCGGAATTAATCTTTTTTACCATTCCAATAAATTGACTCGTTGTATGGCAACCTATTAAAGTACGAAAAGCAGGTAGGTTGTTCGTTAGACTGCGTCGTTAAGGGCTATTTTATGAACTTCCACGTAACCAATAAAATTTCTGACCTAGGATTTTAACCAAATTTCACTAGGAAGAAAGTTTCTAAAATAAACCAAAATAATAGGCACATCGGTATTGTTACAATCAATAACGCATGTAGGAAAACCTTCAGTTTAATTCTAATAGTTCTCGATTTTCGTCACAAATAACAATATTGGATTTAAAGTATGTAATGTTATTAAATCCGCCACTCGTTACAAATTGTATCTTATAATCATGGAATCCGTAATCAGGAAGTTCATTTCATAAAATATTGGTTAACTCATTATTAAATATTCCGTGAATAAATAAATTCCATTGTTTGGAAACGTGATCTCTCAATTAGTAAAAATCTTATTGATTTGGAAGATCCTTTTTTTTTTGGGCGCATCCCAACTCGTGCTCACTAATCTTTTAAAAAGTAAAAGTCAAATAAGTTGATTATTATAAGACATAAAAATATGGTTGATGTTTTGTTTTGATATACACACATTTTAGAAACTTTTATAAAGAGTTAATTTTTTTATTTTAAAATCTTGTTTAGCTAATTTCGTGGTAACATAAAAAGTACAACATATTTCGCAATTTTTTCTTAAGATGAAACCGATGAAATCGCATTTTTAATTTTTTAGGGCCGTAAGCCCCAATGGATTTTTAAATGTTTAATGTAATACATTTACCTAAGTTGTAAAGTGACTTTTTGGATTTTGCGGTCATATTGTAGTACACGTTACGCTCTATGCAATGGTACCAATATTTCGTTTTTTGAAAATAGTGCCCTTCTGCATAATCTAATTTTGGATTACCTACGGTTTTAGAATTTCCGAAATATTAGTTTTCAATTCACTAACAATTTAGCTTGTGACACTTAAGCCCCTACAGAATTCATTTCTAGAGCAGTTTTGTTACAAATAGCACCATACTATAAGTCTTCATCGTACAGGTCGTTAAACATTTAACTTTGGATTTTGCGACCCGGGTTCAACTCACGATAAAAGCAATCGTTATTTATTTTTTGGTTGAGTGGACGAGCAAGACGATATTTAACAAATTATATTAAATTTATTTTCTATAAGTTTCATTTAAAAATTGGTTTTTCAGAGTAACTTATTAAAACATGTCAACACTCAGTTTAAATGACACATGTCCTGGAAACCTTCACGGAACTTCCGCAGAACTCTTTTTGACGCTATTGAACACTTTGTTGACTGCCAAGTGTTCCTTGGGCAACCCCAAAAATTACCCCGTAGATTTCGGACCAAATATAAGAAACGGAGATGAGTTTGATTTTATTGTAATCGGAGGAGGTTCTGCAGGATCAGTGCTGGCCAACAAATTGAGCGAAAATCAGGACTGGAGAGTATTGGTTCTGGAAGCTGGCGGACTGCCATCTGCTACTAGTGATGTAAGTTTACTGAGCAAAATTTCGGGAAATTATAGCATAAACTTTTGGGACAAACCTTTTAGATACCAGGGTTGATGTACAACCTTCAAGAAACCGAAGAAGATTGGGCTTACAAAACAGAACCGCAAAACACCAGCTGTTTGTCAATGAAAAACAAACAATGCAAGTGGCCGCGAGGGAAAGTACTCGGAGGAAGTAGCGTTTTAAATGCCATGCTGTACGTCAAAGGTAATAAGGCAAACTACGACCACTGGGCAGAACTCGGCAACACTGGTTGGGATTGGGACAGCATTAAGGAATATTTTACGGAATTGGAGCAAGTACTACCACCAGCATCTGAGACTACGCCGCTAGGAACTGATGGGTTGTTGCCTTTAACTAAACACTATTCAAGTAAGTATATTTTTTTCTTATAGTGCTAGTCTTCTTGTATATTCTTAGGCAAATTATCAAAGAGAGAAGCTAGAGAAAAAAATGTAATTTAAATTATTTTATTTAAACACAATAGTATAAGTACGGTTTTACAGTGAGTAATCAAAAGTCATCGGGTACTAAAATAGGGATTATTTTCAATTATTTCAAGTATTTTCTTCTCTGCAACAGGAGTTCTGGCTTGATGAGGTCATCCAGCCTTGTTTCTGTTCGGTTTCAGTCGACCAGATTCTCAAAGTCTCCTCGCGATATACACTAAAGTCTGGTGATTCGGAATCTGTTGATTTGGAAATCTTTCATAAAGTTTTGTATGCATAGCCGATCGCAAGCGAATCGACAGATATTCATCTCGACGGTATCAGCAGCGATCCGCTGGCGAAAGCCCAAAAAGGTGGCGGACTTGCTGGACATTGTCACCGGCATGTCATCTTTTGCAAGTTTTCATGTTCTTTTATAGGGAAAAATTAGTTATCATGTGCTTTTATAGGGAAAAATTTTATATTCGTTCACTGTTTTTTGAGTTTAAGAAATGAATAATGAATAACATGCGAGAGATGCCAGTGACAATCTCTAGCCAGACGCCACCTTTTCGGGCTTTGGCCAGCGGATCGCTGGTGATACGCCGTGATGAATCTCAGGCGAGTCGCTGGCGATCGACTATGCATGCGGGTGTTAGTATACCCGAACACTTACACGAGAGTTACCATTACAGAAACCAAGCACTAGCAACATATCAGCTTGTTTATTAAATGTGTACTCCACACCAGCTACAAAATGTTTGAAATAACTCCTTCACAAGAACTTTGAATCGAACCAAAAGAATACAATACATAAAATAAGTAGTATCGACAATTTTTACAGTTCTATACCATATTTGTCAAAAATTTTTATTAGTAACGTTGACAACCGCCAACTTAGTTTTCTTGAAAATTTGAAGTCTAAAGGTTTGTTCCAACAACGATCTTGGAACAATACATAAACCAGTCCAAAACTTATTGTTGACAATCTGTCGATGACTAGTAATTGACAACTTGTCAGGTACTGGTCGGGGATTGGGACTCAACTTGGAAGTCGATTATGTTGGAACACATTTTTTAAATTCAACAGACGCATTATTACAATAATAAACCACAAAATAAAATAAATGATCATGAACAAAAACTATAAAGAGTAAACTCGATTAACAAATACAAATCACAACTGTCAGAGACAATAGTTACAAATAATAGTACACAAATCGGTTTGTGATTAGTTTTGGTTGTGTTGGAACACTATGTATTTGTACAGTTTCGAGTCTAAGGTTTGTTCTAGACTGCGCAGAATCTCGACAGTACGCAAACTGATTTGGTTTGTGTTGGAACAAACCTTCTAACTATCTGTTTGAATTGTTATTTTTCAGTGAATACCTATGCCTATTGATGATTTTTTTTTATTGTGAGGACGATAAAAGCGACAATATTCGGGTTGCGTAAGTTATAAATCGCCAAGTTAGTTTTCTTGAAAATTTTAAGCCACTAACCATCAGTCCATAAATTTTTGTTCACTCAAGTACCATGAAAGACATGTTTTTTGCAAAAGACCGGAAGCTGGTGGATACATTTTGTATATAGAATTTTTACAACGTAACATAATCTCAAATTAACGTAATAAAATGTACACAATCCGTCCTATTTCATTTTGTACCTGGAAAATGCATAGAGTTTGCGTTTAAAATTTTAGCACTAAGATCGTCTTTCAAAAATAAAAATTTGATGTGTCCAACACATGACTTTCCTATCTAGTTATTATAGGCTTTGGTTATTTTGTACAACCTATTGCAAAACCTCTATAAATTCCTTAGAGGATAAACTAAATATATACATTTTCCACATACATCTAACTCAAAACATTTTTCTATTGATATTCATTGAAAACGAAAATACTGAAAAATTTAAATATAGCACTTTTCCTACATTTTCTCCATTACGGTTCATTTAAGAAAAATCATGTAAAAAAAATTATAGAGATCGATATCGCAAACAATTTTTAGTTTAACAATTTTCTTAAAAATCAGATTTTTGTACATTTTGTCTAATTTCTCGAATACGGATCATTTCAGGAAAATTTTTTATAGAACAAAAATTATAGATAATATTATAAGTAACTTTTATTTAAAAAAATTTCTTCTCCAAACATAAATAACAGATATATTCCATAAAATATAAAAACGACCTTCTATAAAATACCCCCCAGATGTTCGGACTTTGTCCAAAATCTAATCATTTCATAACTTATGCCGGATATTTTGGAGTCAAAAATTCAATCTTATGGAAAAGTTTCCTTGTGTAAGATATATTAAAAATGTAGGGTGGCACAAAATTGATCGAATGCATTTGATCAACAACATTTGATAAAAAAAACATTTTAAGAGTGGCTCAGTGGTAGAGTCTCTGCCTGTGGATCCAAGGGTCCCAGGTTCGAATCCCACCGTTGGCCGGGATTTTTTCATTTAATTTAATTATTTAAAATTAAGTCTGATGCCTTGATAGGATTCCCCACTCGACCATTCACTGTTGGGTTCTAATTAACAGTGCTGTTCCTAAAGTGGCGCGACTAGCAGTTGATGCCGATGACACCAAATTAAAAAAAAAAAAAACAATTAATCGAAAAAAAAAAAAATGATCGAAAAGAACCATGATCGAAAGGAAAACTGATCGAAAGGAAAACTGATCGAAAGGAAAACTGATCGAAAATAGATTTGATAGAAAAAGCAATTGATCGTAAAAACAAATATATATAAAATTAGAAAAAATAAAAAACTTAACTAATGTACCTAACCTATACGGCCTAGAGTCATCGCTGGTTGCTTCGCAAAAACAAATATGTAAAAATGAAAAAATAAAAAAACTTGACTAGCGTACCTAACTTACGTAACTTGTGCGAGAGCCATTAGTTAAATTTAAATAGCACGGGTAAATTAGTTAAGTTTTTATTTTTCTTATTTTGTTATATTTTTTTTGCGAGGCAAACCGTAACGGCTCCAGACCGCACAGGTTTATGTAAATTATCTAATTTTTTTTATTTTCTCTTTTTTATATAATTTTTTTTCGGCAAGCAACCCTTGAGATCTCCAGGCTGCACAGATTAGGTAAATTAGTTAAAATTTTTGTTCTAATTTTTCTTATTTTTCTATATTTTTTTGCAAGGCCAACCCGACGGCTCCAGGCCGCATAGGTTGAGTACATTATTTAAATTTTTTTATAATAAAAAACTTAACTAACCTATCTAACTTGTGCAAGAGTAATCAGTTAAATTTAAATAGAATAGGTTAGGTAAATTAGTTAATTCTTTTTTGTATATTTTTATTACATAGCAACCATCGAGGGCTCCAGGCCGCACAGGTTAGGTAAATTAGTTTTTTTTTATTTTACCATTAGTACCTACCTAATTAGATAGCCGCTGAGTTTAGTTTCCCCGGTAAAAGGGATTAGATCGACGGGTGCATGGTTTGAATTTTTAATGTTGATTTTCGATATATAATCCTTTTGATCTAATGAATTTTTGATCTATTGTCTTTTCCATAAAATATTATTCGATAAAATATATCTTTGATCAAATGTTATTCCATCAAATGCCATTTGATAAAATGTATATTCGATCATATTTCCAATTCGATCAAATGTTTTTCGATCAATTTTGTGCCACCAAAAAATGTATATTAACAAAAATCATATGGTTTTTTTTATTTAAACTAGTATGCGTAGATAACATAAAACATTTTCAATTTACATTTTTATAAATTGGTTGCCCGTGTTACTAGAGAGTGCAGCCCTATACCCCTTATAAACAAGCCGACACTGTTTTGGGGAGTTCAGAAATAGTTATCAATATTTCGTAATTTTGAAATATTTATTTGGGAACTTCCAAAGAAATTATAATATTACTATTTATTTTTTAGGATAGATGAGCATTAATACTTAATTTTTAAATGGATATACGTTACAATATTAAATTTTGGTTAGTAGATTTTAGTAGAGGGAATTTTTCATCTATTACTGCCCACCCAATATCAAAACGTACAAGTCACCACGGAAACCAACCTATTTTTGACACAGAAATATCTAGTATAATTATTTATTACCTACTTTTTGTTACATCTTGTATTATAAATATATTGTGAAGACAGAAAACAGTTCTTCTCTTAATATTCAGAAACTAAATGTCTTTTTACACAATTATTATTATATTACAGCAGACAATGGTCTGCCATTTGTTTAAATTAAGTAATATAACTTAAAAAATGATATTTGGAAAAACCAGGAGGCACCGCCCTCCATGGGCGCCTATGCTACTCTTAGATACCAGATTTCTATAACGGAAATTTTAATTTTTCTTCACTGAACAGTCACCACATTTTACTTCTTCCAATCTAAAGATTGAGTGAAACATTTCATTATTTTCTTATATTATATAGTATAGCAACCAAATGTTTACTGTTGCAGATGAACCAATCAAAATGTCACTGCAGGAAGCCTATGAACAAGTGGGAATAAAATACTTAGAAGAGCAGAACCCCGAAAAACCAATCGGTACCGTAGATGTACCCTTGTGCATCGACAGAGGCCAAAGAGCTAACACAGGCAAAAAGATATTAGGCAACTATCAAAACAGAACTAACCTCTTAATCTCGTTGCATTCTTTCGTGCAAAAAATAACAATCGAAGAAAAAGTAGCTAAAGGCGTAGAAGTGGAGATAGGAGGCAACTTATTAAAACTGAAAGCTAAAAAAGAGGTGGTTCTATCGGCAGGTGCCATTAATTCACCACAACTGTTGATGTTATCCGGCATTGGACCTAAAGAGAATTTGCAGAGCCTTGGGATAGACGTGGTGGAAGATTTACCGGTCGGACAGTTTATGCAGGACCATATGATATCTTGGCATGAAATAAAACTGTCTTTGGACGCTATTCGTTATCCGAAAGGACCTGCTGATCCTTTGTATGAATATTTTATACGTCAAGAAGGTCCTCTAAGTATGTATTTATTTTTATATAATTTAAGTGTAACTAACATATTATTTTTCGGTAGCTCAGTAGGTTTATTAAATGGCACAATGAAAGAGTTTAAAAAATTCGAAAGATTATCGATAATATTAGAAAAGGACCTCATGTTAACACTACAATTATTCAATAAGTTAGCTAAAAGGAAAAGGCCACCAAAGTGTTAAAGAAGTAAAAGCTTTATTTCTTTAACAATATTACGATCTGATCAATAAGCAACTTTTTAACCTAATTGACATACGATTATATAATTACGAAATAATTAACACTAATACGCATTACCCCTGTTTTAAACTGATAAATCACACCTAACCGATTCAAATGGCTTGATCCATTTAGGACTTCTTAGAGATGCGTGTTGTCCAAGAGCTAAATAGCCATACCATTCACATACTGGAGCAATCTTTGTTCTTGGTTACTGATAAATTTGGCACTGTGAACAGTGTCCATTTGTAGGTCCCAATGGATGTCGCAGGGCGCATCAATGATCTTCCTTAGTACTTTATTCTGGAACCGTTGAATAACGTTGCTGTTACTGGCACAACCCCAAAGTAGAACTCGCTTTTCATGAGTACACCCTAATATCTCAGTTATTAATGATGCGATTTTCTTCAAATATTGGTGGTGATTGTATGTTAGAAAAATAAAGTATTTGGCATATTGAACATTTTTATTGACCATTGACGTTCGGTGTTGGGGAAAAAAAGGCTTTATTTTTTGGGAAAAGAATATTATGGCTTATTCTAGATAACTTTTTTTATCAGATTTAGAATCGGCATCCCAAAAAACCCCTTAATTTATATTTTAAAAATCTCAAGAGCTGATTTTAGCAGAGAAACTAATTAATTTATTTTAAGTTAATTATTTTTAATTTTTTAGTTTAAATGCCATAATTCTATTGCATTTAAAACCCCTCTATACCATTTTTGTTAAATTCAGTATCCTCGCAAATGCTGTTAATACTATCATTTAGATTTTTTTGAAATTTTGCTAAGATACGCGCGCTCTGTTACCGTTCGCATGCAGACTTGTGTTGGTTTTGAGTAAGTTATTCACAGAGTGCTTTGAAACAAATGTAAAAACATTTGACATTTAATAATTCGTAATAAATGAAAATAAGTCAAGCAGTGTTATTTAACTGTTTATAAGATGGCACAAAACCGAAGAGTAGTTCTTACAATTGGAGAAAAAGTAGAAATTATCCGCTTATTTGGTAATAATTAAATGGAATATTTAATGAAAAGCATTATGATCGAGCACCAATTTCTCACAATACCGTTGCTGAAATCAACAGATTATTTGCAAAGACTGGAGCGTTTTTCAAGACAATTTAAATCAAATGCACTATCCAGACGACAAACGTATCTTTTCGAAACAATCCAAATGGTAGTATAAGGACAGTTGCGAAGATACTGAATTTAACGAAAAAGAAAGTATGGAGATGTTTGAAACGCAATAGGATTAGGGCATTTAAACCAAAAATTCTACATTTTCTATTAAATGGTGATTCTGAACGGTGGTTTGAATTTTGCAACGATTCTATCTTAACTACAGAATTTTTCTAAAGAACATAAACATAACTTAAAGCACGAGACAACATTTACGACAAACGGTGTGGTATCTAGTCAAAATTGTAGGTTTTGGGCAGCCAAAATCCGAATTGGATAATTAATTGTAAAAACCAATACAGTGTGATGTGGAATATTTAACCAACGAATTGTTTGGACCTTTTTTCCTGGATAACCTGAACGAAGAACTTTTTGTACATTTTTTACAAAACGATTTTTATGATTTTCTCATGGAATTGCTTTTAGCATAGGGACACAACTCATTCTTTCAATTAGATGGTGCATCTGCATATAATTTCCTGATAGTTAGGAACTTTTTAAATATAACTTTCCCTATAAAGTAGATAGGTAGAAATTCTCCTTTAGAACCATGACCACCCAGATCGATAGATAGATATTACCCCCCCACTTTTTTCTGGGGGGCACTTGAAAAATAAAGTGTATGCAACTCGGCAGCTTTGCATTAGAGTTAGGCAAGCATGTCAGGAAGTTACTTCTCAAACTTTAAGAAAAGTGAATATACGTTAAAGAAGAATTGTTGAAAAGTGTATTGTTATACAAGGTAGTTGTGTTGAAAAGACAAGCTTCTAAAATATTGTGACTCGTAATTTTGTTACCACAATTACAAATAAAGAATTTATTAAAAACCATTTTTTTTTCTGTTAAAATCAACTCTCGAGATTTTGAAAACATGAATTAAGGGGTTTTTGGGACGCTGATTCTAAATCCGATAGAAAAAGTTGTCCAAAATAAGCCCTAAAATCCTTTTCCCAAAAAATAAAGCCTTGTTTACCCTCCAACACCGAGAGCCAATGGTAAATAAAAATGTTCACCAAGCCAAATACTTAATTTTTCTAACATACAATCACCACCAAAATTTAAAGAAAATCGCATTCTTAATAATTAGGGAGTACTCATGAAAAGCGGAACACACTGTATATAGAATTCCGTTCTAGCGGCCAATACATTTTTAAATTTAAGTTGTTTACGTTTCTTTTTGAGTTTAGCATCTAAGAACATACTCAAATATTTTGCTGAGCTAGCACAGGGAATCTGATGATTGTTCATACTTAGTGGTAAATGTTATCTTTGTTTTTTGGTGTAATTGATATGAATTGATTTGACTTCATTCAACCTTATGCGCCATTTCTTTGTCCAATTTTATCTATCTATCTGAATTAGGGCGTGGTTCAAAGCCCACTCGTACTGAAGCTCTAGGCTTATTGTACCCCTCACAGTTTCTACCTCATCAGATTGATTTTCTTGATGAATTCAAGAATATGTCTGATGGGCGCTTTCGCGATTTCTTTATGTTCCGGATATTGTACCCCGAAGTACCATTCCCGTTCTCATATAAGGTTCCGACAGTGGCATAGTATGTGAATAGGAGTTTTGTCCTCCTCTTCACATATTCTACATAGAAAATCATTAGATATCCCTAAGGGATTTAGATGTCTTCTAAGGCCGTAGTGTCCGGTAAGGAGTCCTATCACGGCCTTGAGTTCGCTTCTGCTAAGGTTTAGCAGTTGATTTTGTCTGCTCTTGGATGGCTCCTTTATGAATCTTTTGGACTGTCTAACTTCAGGAAGTTCCGGTGTTCTCTACTGAGTTGTTCCTTTAATACCCATTTAACATGTTGGTATAAAATACCACATGGGTTTTGGTCCAATTAGATTTTTTCCACTCCCTTGCTTGCTAAAAGGTCTGTTTTACTCGTTTCCAAATACTCCCTCATGTCCCGGCACCCATTCAAGGGTGACCTTGTTTAGTTCTGCCAGAGCCTGGAGGGACTATATTAATTTAGATTGTACTTATACCAACCCTTTTCAGTGGCTGTCTAAAGAGGAATTTAGCATAACTTTGGCGCAAGCATTTACTGCTATTACTTTAGCCTGGAAGAATGTTCAGTGACCCCAGGTTCAGACTAATGGTCCTCCCTGAGTTCACATGGTAGATCCCAGCTCATGTGCTGTTTTTTTCTATTTTCCCGTCTTTTGACCCTTTCTGGTATTTGAATATCTAGAGATTTCCTGTAGTCATGAATAATGGGCGCTTCCTCAAGCTGTGGTGTTCTTACTTCTCGACGGCGACCACAATCGTGCGTTCTTTTGTTGAATGAACCATATTCTCGTAATCGTTGATGAAGTCGGGCAAATATTCTATGTGAAGGATGCTGCCGTTGAGGATACATTTCAGCATATCTTCTAGAAGCTTCTACCCATTCCCCTGCGACAGACCGTAAACGTAATGCATATCACCCATTTCCTCATTTGTGTATGCCATTTTAATAACAAGTGAATTATTAAAGCAACAAATTACGAACAGAACAACAATACACAATTAGTATTACTTCAATTTCAAAAATTTACAAACTGACAGCTTGATTTCAATGTAATTGTCAGTATCGCTAATAGCGGCCTACTAGATAAATTAGTTTCGTATTTTCGTTTTATGGCGATATCTATCTTGTTCGTAAAATAATTTTTTGTTGCGAACTAGTTTATTTTGGGCAAAAAATTCAAGAGACATTTTTTATTTAGAATGAAATATCGGAAATAAATTTTTAAATGGTAAACAAATAATAAGATAAAAAGTTACGTTGGAACGAAATTTTAGGGGTTGCGTTTTCCACCCCTTACAACCATGGGGTAAACCAAATAAATTACTGGCTAAGTGTCTTTTTGGTAGTAGAAAATGTCAGGTTAATTTCAATATTGTAACTTGTTTAGTGCTTGTGAAAAAAATTGTTAAACAAATTTTATGTACCCCCTTTAAGGGGCTGCATCTTAACAAGGGATGCTCCAATGAAGTTTCTTTATATGGAAGATCCTATCTTTTTTTCGATGAGGAATCACCCCCTTAAATGTTTTACACTTATTTAGTTACACCCTGTAGCTAGAGTACTGGAGTTAGCAGGTTACCTCGTGGCATCCCTGCTCTAATTTATTTGATTTCATAACCAGCATATTGTTGTTTAATTATAAAATAACTTCATGAAAGATTGGATTGCAAAAGTTGTGAATATTATTTTGGCAGAAACAGATTCAGTTTATGAAGTTTTATGGAACATATTCTTCTAATCACATTTGAATGATATGTGATCCTAGGAACTTGATCGATAGTTCAATAGTTTTCTCTGAAGCTACGTTGCTTGGTAATAATCAAACTCTTTTCTTCTTAAGAAGTAATTTTACAAAGTGTTTAGAAATCTAGCAAAAATAATATAGGCTTGTATGATGAGACTTCGTTTAAGACATGTAAACGAATAATACAAAATGAATTATATTTTTGGGTGTAATTAATTAAACAAGAAGTAAATATCATAAAATCAAGTTACACAGGTTATTACAATTGAAGAACTACATACTGACAAATACATAATATGAATATTATCTCTAGCTAGTAATTATTTTCCACTACACATATTTTTTGCAGGTTCTCTTTCACTTACGAACTTCTTGACCTTCTTAAATACCAAAAACGATTCGATGTGGCCCGACTTTGGGTTTCACTACTTTTTATTTCCTCCAAACGACCAGCTACTCGGCCCTGGCGTCAGGAAGGGTGTAGGATTTGTTGACAGTATAGCGACCACTATGAGCAATGAATGCAAATCGAATCCTTGTCTAATGATGATTCCTACTTTACTCACTCCTAAATCTATGGGACAGATTATGTTGAAGAGCAAAAACCCTCGAGATTATCCACTGATCTATTCGGGATCTTTTACCGACAAAGATGATGAGGATATTACAGTTATGGTAGAAGCAATAAGGTATGTTATAGATACGTTTTAGCTACGATAGGCTAGTCACTTGTAAAAACACCATTATCCGTTATAGATTCAACGAACGGTTAATCCAAACTCCGGCTTTACAAAAATACAACCCCGAAGTCATCAGATTCCCAATACCAGAGTGCGACAAATTAGAATACGGAAGTGATGCATATTGGGCGTGCTTTATGAGGAATGTGGCCTCCACGTTGTACCATCCAACTAGTACCTGCAGGATGGGTGTTCAAAAAAATGAATCAGTGGTGGATCCGAGATTACGGGTGCATGACGTTAAGAATTTAAGGGTGGTCGATGCTAGTATTATGCCGAGGGTGACCAGCGGTAATACGCATGCGCCTAGTATGATGATTGGTTTCAAGGCTAGTGTTATGATTAAGGAAGATTGGTTAAGCTGATGTACCGATGTATGATCGACGATTTAGTTTAGGCGTCGATTTTTGTCAAATTTTGTTGTAAAATTGAAATATATATATATATTTTTAAACCAAATGAATATGAATTTTATTAAATGTCCAAACAGTACAGGATACGAAGTAAGGTCGACCTTTACCCATCTGCTAAAAGTCCACGTTGTATAGTAAACAACCAATACAAATTAACCATCAGCCAATAAGGTAACAGCATGCCCTTCTTGGGATGAGACATGTACATAGTTGCCGAGCATAAATTAAATCTAATGCATTAGATAAATAGGCTGGTTTTTAAAGGACGGTCGGTTAATAATAAATTACAATTACAGTTACAATTATAATGAGCATTTCCGGATCCATGTTTATATAAACTTTCTTTCATAATTGTACGAGATGTAGAATCTGCCATTAAATTTTCTTCACAACATCCTATATATGTATCATCATTCTATAAGAGGTTATGGCGAAAGTAGGTACTAAATTTTAGTTTTCCTGTTAAATTAGTTAATAATGTCTGAAGGATAATAATTTGGTTTTGAAATTTCCGAGTTTTTTTTTAATACTCCTATTTATAGGGTATATATAGACTCTCAAAATATAGTCCGTAGACTCAATTCACAGCCTGTGAAGGGGATACGATTAAGAACTGCTGGGCGCATTATTTGTGACTTCTTGACATTTGCATTAATTTCTAAGAAATGTGTTTACATTAATTCATCGATAAGATTTTCCAAAATAATATTGAAATTTAATATTGAAAATAAAAAAAAAATGGAGATTAAAATTTATTTGCTACTTATAAAATCCCAATTGGGAAAACATATTGATAACGGAGTCTAATTTTCGAATAATAAAGAGGGGTTTTTCATATCACGATTTATATTCGAAAACAAATTAATTAAAAAAAAAATACTTTTAAATGACTCTATCCTTTGGAGATTATCATCTGTAAGATAACGTACAAGGTATGAGAAAATATGTATTACAATTTGATAAGCTTTTAACCAAAAATATATTACAAGTAGCCTGATAAAGGGGTTCAAATTATCGAACTCCCCTAATCAGGTTGACTAGTAACCTCAGGGCCGGGTTCCTGTAAATAGAGAGAAGAAAATGATTGATAGAATGTGAATGGGCCTTTATTATCTTCTAACCTCGTGTTGTCAAAATTGAAATGATAACCAACAAATTACAGGTATACAAAATGCGGACTATTATTAGGAACAAAAGAAAATTATTATGTACAAGGCGTTCCCACAACTATTCTTACCTTTAACTTACATACCCTTATAATATATAACCCTCCAAGTGGGTGGTAAAAGTGCGGTTACGTAGAGTACTCTTCGTATTACAAAAGAAAACCCGGTAGGTGGATATTACAATTAATAAGTATATATAAAAAAGAAATTGGGTATTTAATCAGGTATTTAACTCTGTTTGTTGTAGGCTGAGTCTCAACAACCTAATCTCGTTAGTAGATGGGGGCCCTCCGAAATATAGAGTTAGAAAAAGGAACCGTCTTGAACTCAATGAAGGACGATGTCCAGTTAGGTAGCTTCCTCTTGATGTCGGTAGGTAGACCGCTATGAAAATTACTTCGTATTCGGTTATCTAATTGTCTGTTCTCTGTTGCTAGCACACAAACGCTGAAGTGGAGAAGCCCTATTCTATATGGAGAGGTGGAGAGAACTTGCACACAGTCCTTAGAAGTATTCCTCTAATAAAAGCGTTACTCAGAATTGTAAATCGGAGCGAGCGAAGGAAGGAACGCACTAATGAAAGGAGCGAACCAAGGAGGTCTGAAAAACATTGACGATTGTAACGATTATGTATACAGAAGGCTGTTGGGAATATAGGTAAGTGAACTAATAATTCCTTTGGAAAAACTCACCCTTGATGGTATGTGACCTTTTAGTTATTAATTTATTAAATTAAATTCACACTTTTAGCCGATACTATATCCACCACTAGGCGTATGAATCACAAAGATCACTAACAATATATCGGACTAAAGGAATCTATGGTTTTTGCACAAGAATAAATCATAGAAAATCCTAGTTGAAATGTTGGCACATGCCATAATCAGAATCTAAGCAAAAACTGGGCCAGGAAGGAAGTTCCACAAAATGGCCAACAACAGTCAATGTCTTAGCAAGAAGGCCCTGACTACAAAAGGGTAATAGGATAATTTCTGTTAAGACTGTGGTCATTATTTATAAATTTAGAAGAATCGGACAACTGAAGGAGTTAAAATTGACATGTAAACAATAACAATAAAAATAAAGCTTTTTAGTAATTAAATGAGCTAGAGTTATTGTTTAAAGTAGCGAAATATATTTACTTACATTATAAATTATTTATTAAGGTATTAATTATTATTGAATATACTCCAGGCGAGATTATACTCTATTACAAAACATTATTTTATATTTTACTACAAAATATGTTTGATAAAAATGGATATTTTATGAATTTATTTAATGGACCCATTTTATTGATTTGTATACATTTATATACCGCACACTCTTAAATCGAAAGGTAACTAAAGAGATTAGCATAGGTTATAGTAGAATAGGTAAGTAATAGATTAGTTTAGTAATTAGAGTAGCTTAGGGTAAGTTAGAATTAAATAGAAGTAGAATAATGTAAATAGTTAAGCGTAGAATAATTTAGAATAGTGTAGTTTAGTCTAGTTTAGTTTAGAGTAGCTTAGAATAAGATAGGCTAGCAAATAGAATAAGTTAGAATAGTGTAAATTAGGGTATTTTAGACTGGAATAGATTTAGGTAGAATAAAACCCGTAACAAATATTCAAAAAGTTTATACAGAAAATAATACACAAAAGTTCTTAATCGGGCTAAAATGTTGTAATAGTTTTTTAACAGTGTTTTATTGTCGTCCTTTATAGGCACAAGGGCTGGTGCAGTGGAACAAAATGCTACTATATTTACCTCTAGTTTGAAGTGATAGTCAAACCATCTTTCTGTAAGGTTTTTACTTTCCTATCTGTATACATATAAGCAAAGTATAGAAATCATGATCTTTTTCGACCTTGAGATTCTGATGGATTTTTACGTTTTGGGGTCCCCTAAATCCTTTTTGACTATTTTCACGACGATGTCGTGTATGCGTGTGCGTATGCGTGTGTGTATGTGTGTGCATACGCGTGGTGGAAGGCTTAAAACGTATTTCTAAAATAAAAAAAAAAAAATAACCAGTTATATGCTTAAATACAGCTTTTAATGGGTATAGCTAATTAAAATTTTACATTAATTTTAATTTTATTTTTAGCTATTTACAAGCAGTTTTTATAATAAAATGCAACTTTTAAATGCTATAGCAAATTAAAATTTCAATTTGTTCTTTTCAGTGAGCTCACAATTTGGGTAGTTTTTTATTGTATTATAATTATTTTTATTATTATATTCTTGATATTCCTATTAGCTACAATATTGATGTCCAGAGTTTAAGTTTAAGGTGGTAGTGAAAATATTGATTTTATTTCTGATATAATTTAAAAACAAAACAAACAACAAACATATAATACAAGTAAATTTAAAAAGAACAACTTTTACATGTACAATAAATATTAAATACATTTTAAAAACATTAATAGCATGAAAGCTTATAAATGAAAACATAAAAAACAAACAAAAATATTTTCTTGGGCATAACATACTCGCATGACCCGAAAACATGAAATGAAAAAAATTATAACGTAAAATCAAGTAGTCTATTTTTATTATTTACAAATCTATTTATAATATGGTCTACATTTACTTGAATGTCTCTAGGTATAAACAGAAGTGATAGTCCAACTAATCTATCCTGACCCATTGTTGAACGAAGCCAGGTTTTAAGGCGCCGCAGAGAGGAGAAGCTTCTTTCAGCTGAAGCTACACTAATAGGTAGAGTCATAGATATATAACCAATACAGATAGGATTATTTACAAAATTTTTGAAGAATGAACGGTGGTGTCCGCGGTAGAAACTCAATAATCGGATTGAACATTGATGCCAAGTTTACGTGCTTTTAACTATAGATATATATAATCAATACAGATTACACAATTTCTGAAGTCAACGCGGATGATCCTCGACAGAAATGCAATATTTGGATAAAATTAAAACATTGATGCCAAGTTTGCGATGTTTTTAACTGTAGTAATGTTATTGCGTTTGCTTGAATTACTGTTAGGTCTTTAAATTGTCAAAAAAAAAAATGTCTGACAACAGCGGAAGTAGAGTAGACCGCAATTGTGGAGGGTCGTATATTGTTTCATTCATAAAAATGCCTTCGATACAGTACTAGTCCAGGAGCCAGTGAATTTTTTCGTACTTGTTTTTCCGGTCCGTGTATATTTAAATAATCTATTCCCAGTGAACTGTATATTTAAAATGGAACGCCAATCTATTAACAAAAGTAAGCCAGATTGAATTCGCGCATTACGTCACATCGATACAAGTGAGATTGTTTGCAAAGTGCCTTTGCAGGCCTATTTTGCCCATTTCATGTATTTGTTTTTAAATCATGTTAAATTACTATTTTTGAAACTCAACAAGGAGAAAATCCAATTAACTCTTCCGTTGTGTATATAAGATAAATTAACTAAAGTTTTATTAGTAAAGTATTAATACCAAAATTTTAATGTAATTTACAGAAAATAGCCAGGTATGTATTTGTTTTTAAATAATTTGATAATTTATGAAAAAAGGGAGTAAAAGTGGAATGACCAGTGGCCAGTAAGTCAGTCAATACAAAGTATCATATATTTCTATTATAACATAACTAAAATACCTACATCTTTTAATCATAACGACATAAGTTAAAAACCATTTTAATATATGCATTAGAATGAAGTAATAATAACTTAAAGAGACGAGGTCTTAAAGTAATAGCTGGTACAGCATGTTTTTTAAACGTTTCCTCATTGCTGCTAGAATGAAATCACTTACTATGAAATGTGCTCTAAAAACGGCATTTATAGCAGTCAGTGTTCAGTCTTAGGATCTCTTCCTAAAGCCCTCATCCAAGCTGCATACATATTAAAAAATAATTAAAAAAAAAAACATATTATATACCTATATA